GTGAGTGGAGGCCCAATGTCCATCTGCTACCCTACTAAACCTATAAATATATGCACATAGATCTATTTCCTCCATTATCATATATAAATATATTCACATATGTACATGCCTGCATTTAGGACTCTATGTATGCCCTTTGCCTCCTACTTCTTTCCTCTATTTCCTTTGACTTTCCTCTTGTCCCACTACTACGCTCAGCCTTCATTTGGGTTTCAGTAATTCCTCTTGGTTACATTGCCCTTGATCACTTCCTACCAGTCCTCCCACCCCCTCATCACCACCAATTTGGATCACTTGTTGTTTGCTTGTCCCTGGGTTGGTTAACACCTCACACCTCTTCCCTCCCCCCACCTCCCATGTCCCCCGGGAACCATAAGTCCCATTGTCTTCTTGTCCACATTGTTTATCTAGACAGACCCGCAGAGATAATGTGCACATAGAATTGCGGATGGCCTCCACAACACCACATAAAAACAAGGCAACGACAGCAGCAACAACTACAAACAAACAACAAAGCCAATGACTTACAAAATCTAAAACAAGAAAAAAAGGGGGGGAAAAGAGAAAGAGAGAAAAGCCTGTTAATAGTTCAAGGTCTGTTTGTTGGCCTTTAGGAGTGTTTTCCGGTAGAATCTGATGGGGTGCCACACCCTGGCCCCAAAGTCTATTTCTGATACTCCCTCGGAACTTCCTTGCTCTGCTCCCCCCACCGTTCTATTGCACACTTTAGTGTTTTGTCTCAGTGTGGTGGGAAATAAAAATTATTTTTAAAGAGGGGCAATCCCCGTTAACTCCAATTCTGCTGGGGACTAAGCATGCCATTTTATCTTTCAGTTAGGCAAGAATAGCCACAGTCATTTTTATAATGTCATCAGCAATGGTTTTACTTATTCTTAAGTACTTGTTGGTTAGTTTTTAAGTAATTTAAAAAATCATTAGCAAAGTTTAATAATGAATTTGAAGTGTTTTGTACACCTCTTAATATGATTTAAACTATTTAATTATATGATAAGCAAGTTATATGCCAATAAAAAGTTACTATTTCCTCATGTAATTTTTTCCCTTTCTCCTGAAACTTGTAATCTTTTAAGTAATGGCCTCAAAAGTGAGGAGTCATGCTATTTTTTGCTTTAAATCAGTGGTTCTAAACCTTCCTAAGGCCGTGTGCGACCCTGTAATACAGTTCCTCATGTTGTGGTGACCCCAACCATAAAATTTTTGTTGCTACTTCATAACTGTAATTTTGCTACTGTTATGAATTGGGCGACCCCTGTGAAAGGGACATTTGACTCCCAAAGGGGTCGTGACCCACAGGTTGAGAACCACTGTTTTAAATGATCATTTGTTCTTTTTTTCCTGAGGGAATGCTTTGGGTCTGAACACACATACTTTTGAGTTACAAAGTCTTAGCTACCCAGAGACTACTTCTGTCTGAAACTTAAGAGTTTATTTATATAAACTCATTTAAAAGTGAATTTGCTTTCTTCTGAACAATTATAGAGGTTGCAAGTAGCTGATGACAATTCTCTATTATATGCGAAAATATGCAGGTGAAAAGAGAAATTAAGACTCGTGTGAAAAGATGTCTCCTTTTAATATCCAGAATTGCTAGTAACCTCTTCATAAAGATAATTAAGCTGAATGGATACTATTCTACATGAAGAGTCTAATGTACGTGTAGTACATAAACCTTTTAATAAGAGTGCTACAGTTGGGCCCAAAATAAAAATCCCTAACCCGAAAAACATTTTGTTAGTGAAAGTCATCTTCAGTTAGGCAGATTTGAAACTTGTCTGTAAAAGTGAAACCGGTAAGAGACCCTGACTGCGAAGACAGCAATGCTTATAAATGGTTAGCTAAATCTATTCTCTCAAACCCCATTCAAATTCCCCATTACAGAAATTTTATCGCTCAAGCTATTGAGTGTGTTTATTAATTCTTTCCTATCACTCAGTCACCTGGTTCTGATCCTGATCACCTCTCTCAAGACTGCTGTTGGAATAGCTTCCTGAAAGGCTCCTAACTTCTGCTTCTCTTATCTAGTAGAGTGGAGAGGCTGATAACAAAATAACATTTCTACAATCTCTCTGATGACTTCATTTTCTTCCTCAAAACTACCAACGTAAACACCAATGAAAATGCTGAATTATGACCTAGCATAATGTGCTTATGTCAACATTAAGTATCAAAATAAATTTGAGGGCCTTTACAAACCCATTTGGCTACTCTATCCTATATTTTCTACAAATTCTATTTCAATTCCTATTCCCCATTTATAAGTTGGTCTTTCATTTATGTTTTCAGCATGTGGTGTGATGGCTCACTTTTATATTTTCTTGGCATGATTGGGTGGGGCTACCCACTCCATGTAGAGAAGATAAAAATCCTCACATCTGGACCAATAATTGCAGACAATATTGAAGTTATCAAGGATTTTGTCATGCTTGGATCTACAATCAATGCTCATGAAAACAGCAGGCAAGGAATCAGATGATGCACTGCATTAGGTTAATCTGTTGCACAAGACCTCTTTAAAGTACTGAAAAGCAAGGATATTACATTGAGGACTAAGGTGTGCATGGCCCAAGCCATGGTATTCTCCATTGCATCATGTGCACAGAAAAGCTGGGCACTGAATATGGAAGGTAGAAGATGAATTTGAATTGTGCTGGATTAGAACACAGAAAGTACCACAGGACAAATCTGTCTTGGAAAAAACACAGTAAGAATGTTGAGGCAAGGATGGCACAGCTTCATCTCACGTATTTTGGACATGTTGTTAGGAAAGACAAGTCCGTGGAGAAGGATATGACACTTGATAAAGCAGAGGACAGAGAAAAAGAGAAAGGCCCTGGACCCAGAGACGGACACGTGGCTGCCACAATGAGCTCAAACAGAAGAATAAAGTTAGAGGCAGTCAGATGTCTCTGCCATGCAATTTTTACACATCAGATTACTCAACTTAGTCCACAGAGAAGATTCAGTCCCCCAGTATTGGCCATTAACTTTTACCATTCCTGCGGTGGTAATCTAGCCACTCTGTCAATCTATCTGGTCAAGGGTCTTTCTCTTTTTTTACGATACCTTTCCTGGACTTGCCTGTGGAATAGTGACTCTGCTTTTGTACCATATAGCACTTTAATTGTACCTCTTTCAATGTACTATCAATAGGGCAGAATGTTACAAATGCACTATTTTTATCCTGAGGACAAGATCAGGCTTAAAAAATTATTTATTCTGTGAATCACTTTGTATTCCTTACAGCACTAAGCAGACTGCTATGCATAGGAAAACATGTATGTATGGATATTAAAAAAAAAAAGCCAACATACTGACTTCATTCTAAACTCATTGCTGGTTTTACCACCCTGCACAGCTTTTCAAGTGTTAAAAGAGTGTAATATTCATCCCCAATTTGATTACAGTAAATAATGGGTGTTGTAAAAACCAGATGTACCTTTACTGAATCAATGCTGTAACTTAAAAAAATCTCTGATTTGCAATAAAGTTAACTCTAGAACCACAGCAGTTACAACCCATGTTTCCTTTTAGTTTAATGTGTGATAGTTTCGTTAAGAGTAGATAAAGATGCATAAGTAGAATCTCCACATTATCACTTTCATCAAAAGAGTTCAGATGATCATTTCTAGAGCCACTGCCTATTGGCAAGGCCATGCAGAATAACAAGTAAGTAAAAAGTGAGTTTTATAATTAAATGTCCTATATTTAATTTAATGAGTAAAACCTATTTGCCTATGGCAACACGGCAGTTGAAAAGGGCCCTGAAAATGTGTCTATTAGGATGGTCTGCACCCCAACTTTGTACTACTCAGCCATGAAGCATTACTGGACACTACCTGGTTCTCTTGGAAGCAAATCCTGACCAAAGCTCAGACACAAGAGTGAAAACACACACACCAACAATTAGGTAACAGGAGGATGAAAACAACTGAATTTTACCTGTGTTCCGCTGCTGGAACAGAATAACCTGGAACAGGATCTTTTGTTCCATAGTATTTTTTAATTAAAGCAATTCCCGCTACTGTATCTGTTCCTTTGAAATTAACCAAATGAGCGGAAGCTCCAATACCAGCAGTCTGAAAAGTAAACCAAAAGTAAAAATCCAATCAATAAAGTCCCGTGATTGAGTTATATGCAACACCGCTTCCAAGGGATTTATTTTCCTTGGCTAATTTTAAAGACTTATTTTAACGATTACCAGAGATAATGGTTCCTTTATGATAAAAATTCAGGTTTTTCCACAAATATCTTAAGGATTCAAATATTATCATATAAAAAAAATACCTACCGTATATACTCGAGTATAAGCCGACCCGAATATCAGCCAAGGCACCTAATTTTACCACAAAAACTACATTAAAAATGTGCTGAAAAACTCGGCTTATACATGAGTGCATACGGCAATTAACAGTACCCTCTTCATTTCCCATCAACTTTATCTTAGTATTTCTCTATAGCATTAACTTATTATGATAAACTTATTGTGTGTGTATGTATGGCCTGTCAATATCTACCTACCTACAATATAAAGGACCAAATACTGTTGTTGAAGGCTATCTCCCTCCCATGTACCTTGAACAAAGGCTGACAGTGGGAAACAGGACTAGGAAGAGAGTACAAGTGAATGAATTTTTTATTCTCTTATTTTAAAAAGCCTGGCAGGCCAGGATTCTAGGTGGAGGGAGGTCTTCATACTTGTGAGTTAAGAGGTGAGTCCCAATCACACATTCTCATAATTAAAAGTAATGCTCACAATATCCTGCCATAATCATGCTGCCTTAGTTACCTCTTACAAGCACATGGCTGATTGCCATCTAGCCAGCAGCTTTATCTACAAGAGCAGACAGGTGTGATTGCTCTCACTTCTAAGGGACAGTCACTCCCCCTCCCTTACCTGCCCTAGTACTGGTGTTCGGTTCCTTCTCCAACAAACTCAGGGACCCTGAGGGTTAAGAGTACAGCCCACTCTGTTATGTATGTGGTTACCTGTAATTGAGGGGGTGGGGGGCCTTACATGTCCCGAAAGTATATATGCTGATGTTGGGAATACATTATCTCTTCCTCTGCTCAGACTTGGTCCTGAAGCTATCGCAGAGGTGAGCACCCCTAAACTTTCGTCTGTCTCTTAATTCATTCCCTTCAATTACACAACCGTCCCACAGCTGACACACAGTTGTCACAGTTCTTGTTCAATGTATATGTGTGTTGACTGAATCTATGAAATCTCACAAATGTGGTCTGCTTCCAGTCCAGCGGTTTCCCCAAAGTTGGCAGTGGTATTCTACAATCCACGTTTTATTAGATGAGGTCCTCCTCATAACTTCCTACCTCTTGCGAAGAGACTCCTCTGTAGCCAAAATCATGTAACTTATATTCTAGACCGTTTAAGTTTCCAGATGTTTCTAACAGGTATTTAGCCAATATTTTCTTCTGTTCCCTTGAATTTGTGGCCACTGTGATTGGATACCAAGACTGCACAAGTATAGTCTGTAATAACAAAATCAGGTACGAGTATTAATATATAAAATCCTAGGTTCTTTCTGAGGAAAATCCTAGCTTTCTCTGCAGGTGTGCTCTGTATTTTCAGATGACTAGAAACACTAATTAGACGTTTCAGCTGTGGATGAATTCCCACCACATGTATTCCAGGTACAGTCTCTACATAACTCAGGTCTCTAAGCAGCAACAGAGAGAAGACCAGGTCCTTAACAGAGTTTTATAAACACACTCACATGTGGCTGTTACAGCAATGTCATTGATGGGTTTTTAAATGCTCATCCATAGCAAAGAGTTTCAGGACAACATCATCTGTGGACTATACACCTTGTGGGGTAGTAATCTCAAGATGTTATCCACTGGCTGTTTGAGGGAATCTGTATTTTCCCCAAGATCTAATATGAAAAGTAGTAAATTCTGTACTCACTTCAGCTTAGCAATATCACAATAGGGCATCCTAATCACTGAGCTATGCATTAACTTATGCTCTTAGCGTTTTATGAAAAGCAATGATAGGAAAACCATGTGAAATATTCTATATTTGCTATTAAACTGCAAAGTTATTATTCTTTTTGTTACACTGTCTATGGCATATACATTTCTCAATGAGGAAGTGGAGCACCGCTGGATTCTATTTTCTGAGAAATTTACCTGGGATTCCCTGTTCTGTGGCTGTCAGAAAACCCCAGAGAAAGCTTGCTACTTAACCACCACAACTAAATCAACTGTTGTGGCTTGAGGATCCACTTTCTTCTCCATTCTAGTATCCTAATTTTCTGATTTTATTTTATAAGCCCGATGATTTGTTATGCGCAGCATCAAATCTGATTTTGAAAGCTGCTAAATGATAGCAGTGTCTGAGTTGTACCAAAGGCACATAAACAAACAAAACCCCCCTAATTTCTTAAATTTTACAGAATAAGCCAAGTAATCGATCAATTAAAAAAGTTATAAGGTTATGCAGCTGCATAAGGCCTGCCCAGACCAGCAGAGGACAATCTAGACAAGTACAAAATCATGAGGAATACTTTTCCAGTCAGGTAAGACTTGGAGTGCTTTGTTACTGTGGTAGTGACATATCTGATGATTCTTCTAGCCATATTTCTTTTTCCTAATGAGTCTGGGTAAGAGAAGGTGGAGAATTAACGATACTGATAGGATTAAAGGATTCCGTTTCAGTGACTGTTAACTGATTGTGATTGGAAAAACTCGGCACTTGAACATAAGGCTTGGTGAGTTTTGTACTCCTGCTGGGTAAGACAGTAGAAAAGGAGGCTCTTGTTATCACAAGAAAAAGAAAGCAGGAGTGAAGTCCGTCCTTTGGACCTGCGATCCCTGCACATTAAGCCTCCTCAATCCCGAGATGAAGATGTGACACCAGAGAAGCAGCAGCTGCAGCACCAACTTCCAGAGTATGGTGCAGAGTGGAGGCTTCCTGACCCTCCGCGAGAGAAGTGAAGCTCAGTACGTTTAGCCTGGAGGCTCACTTCAGGAGAGGGTGTCTCCTGCACTTTAATGGGGGCGTTAGTTCGAGTGCCGTCAAATTGAGGGCTATGGAGTTGTGGTGTGCCCCTTGGATCTTTATTGTCAATCCTAAAGGAGGGCAGGGAACAAGGACCAGAGAGAGGTCTGCCTAGGGGCAAAGCTGTATAGAGGCTGTCCTGCTTAAAGAAATGTCTTAAGCATCTCTGATCCTGAATTGTAAGCTATTAAACTCCCTTAATAAATCCTGTGACTGTGAGTATGGTTTGTGAGTCCTGTGTGGTCACTGCAGCTATTTACCAAACCAGCTCAGAAGCAGAGACTGCCATGGAAGACCCAGAGGGCTGGTGTCAGAATGAGTGAGGAAGTTTGGAGGGGAGAGGCACATCTGACCTCTGCCTCAGGAAGCTGCCTCGGGCTGATGCTGGCGAGTTCGATCTTCTTGTTCTGCCCTGTGTTAGAGGTCAGACATGTTCCACAATGGCCTTATTATATAACAGAAAACGGATTTCAACTATTGACTTAAAATATTCTGAACAATCACCCTCCTATTCAAAGGCACGCAGCTGGATTCATTTTGAAGGCCAGGAAGCCCACCACCCTGTTTATATTCTGATCTCAGTGCTCCTTCTCTGCTGCCTCTCCACAATGTTATCTCACAGTCTGAAGATGCCGCTCCTCCTTGACGGTCATGAGATTCCCTGTTCCTGCTTCTCAGGTGGCTCACTTTATCCCCAGTAGAAAAGCAAAACTGACCATTCCCCTCATTAGAGTTCCATTTACCCTATTTGCATGCTCCCACTCAGTACATTTGATCAGAATTATAAAGACTGTGAATAAAAGAACCATACCAAGTAATTCAATTTCAGTACCAGATACCAAAAACTTAGCAGTGCTCCCTACCACCCTCATTAATTTTGTTCTAACACAATTTACATTTAGGATTCTAACAAGTTGGAAATCTACTAAGCTTTACAAGTACTAATATTCACTCATTTTATCAAATTTCAGAACACTAGATTTCTACTGGAAGGAGCGTGAAAAAATTTTGATTTATAGATGGAGAAAATTAAGTCAAATTCTAACTTGCAGCTACCCGTTGCAGCTGCTGGTGTTGCTCGGTGCTGTCAAGGTGGTTCCGGCTCATCACCACCCTGTGTACCACAGAACTCAACACTTCCCAGGCCTGCTTAGCTGTTTGAGCCCTTTATTGCAGCCACTATGTCAAGCTATCTCATCCAGGGCCTACCTACAGGACAGGAGAAATGTCCAACACAGATTCTAAGGCTATAATCTTTATTGGAACAGACTGACAACATTTTTCTTAGTGGAGCGGAGCAGCTGATGAGTTCAAACCATTGATCTTTTGGTTAGCAGCTAAGTGCTTAAGCCCTATGCTATCAGGACACCATAACTTCAAATTCTAAATTGAAATCGCAGTTCAATTGTTTTTACTTCTTCAATTAATATTAAATAAGAATTTTTCTTTTTAAATCACCTCAATCCAATTTGTGAGCCAGTAGCACTCTGGGTCTGTGTTTTCTACGGTGAAGAGAACATTTCCTCTGGGAATGACAGAGCCCTCAGGGACTGCTTTCACTTCTATTGGAAGGTGTCCGTCATATTTCTGGTGGGAGGCAATAATGAATTTATACACTGAACAGTTACACTCAATTACCTGTTTTAATAAGGTTCTTTATACTTTAGAGGCATTCATTTTACTGTCATAGAAAATTTGTCATCGAAACAGCAACTATAGATGAGTTTATTTTAAAATACTCCAAGAACACTATTTTTCTTTTAAATAGGCCATTTTTCTGAAAGGTTAAATTTATCCTGACAGATCAAAGAAGGGGTTGCTATTAAAGAGCAAAAACAAAACAACAGATGAAATCTCTATGTATGCTTTAAAACTGTGTTAATAGACCTGAAACCACAAGATAAGTCTATGATAATTATACTTTCTAAAGTCTTGGTAATTAATACCCAAATCTTATTTAACTAACTTCTTATCAATTTAACAATTCCCTCCAAAATTGGGCAGTGGGTCTATTTGTTATATTGTATGTTACCAGATACTTTGCTATTAGGGTCCCTTCCTAAATATGATATAATAATAACGGTAAAACACTGTGGCTGGCTTCTGGCTAAAGGAAGAGAAGTTGTTTTGGGAATCTTAGTGGCATATTTATGAGACATGAACACAATTTTAGATAAAATAAAAGCCTGTTTAAAGAGAGGTATCACGCTATTACAAAGAATATGGTCATAGAAGTCCTGATTTAGACTGAAAATAGACCAGGAGACCTCAGGCAAGTCACTAATCCTTCTGGGTCTCAAGTTTGTAAAACAAGAGACTCAATACACCTCTCATATTTTCTGAACATATAATCAAAAGATTCTATCACTCTGGTTACTGTGGATTATATTAACAAGCACACAGCACTTACTACTGTAGTCTATCCTCACAACAAACCTCAAAAGGAAGGAAGATGGGGCAAGAATGGCTTACCTTACTTAAAATATGGAAGCCAGCAGCACAGACTGCTTTGCTGACATCTTTAGATGTCCATAACTAGCAGGCAGTGAAACTCACAGGTGTGCATACCTTACTTTACTGCACTCAAGACACAAGGTTTACAAATCGAGGGTCGGTGGCAGCCCTGCATCAAGAATGGCGCCCTTTTTCCAGCAACATGTGCTTGCTTCATTTTGGTCATTCTCATAATACTCTGAATTTTTCCATAATGCTATCCAACATGTAATAGACTAAAGTATAATTAATGTGTAACAGCTTCTATATGCACGGGGTAAACAAACAAACACATCTGACTCAATTCATCGCCACTGTTCCTTTTGCTGCAGTGGTCTGGAACCAAACCTGCAATTTCTCTGAAGTATGCCTCTGCAGACATGAAAGTTGAAGTATTTTAAATTGTGCTTGACAGACAGTATAAACAAGGAAAAGGCTCTCACTTTTAAGACATAACTCGACTAATGCGTAAGTATGTTACTTTGACATTCCCAATCCATGTTTGTAAAAAAGAAAACTACCAGCAGATTTCAACTCTTATAAATCAATTTCCTTATCTTTGGATGCCCAGAAGTTCAAGCATTAGATCCATGTATGCTATGTATAGATATTGTAGTACAATAAGGGATAAAACTGAGTTTGTGTCATACCTTTCTACCTATTTAGTGAGGGAAATTTCCCAGAATTATTGTGGAGTGATAGACACACAGTGTCTATTTTCTTAGATAACCTTAATTTTTCTTAGTCAAGGTAATAGTAAAATCACCTTTCCAACAAATCCTAGTTATTTAATTATAGTTAGTTTATCTTATAAGCCATAGATCTGTTCATGATTTGCCACAGAAAACCTATTTATTGTTCCCCTTAACTTGTTACAACCATGTATAAACATAGCCAGTATTTTTAAGCTACAAACAAAAAAGAGCAATAAGCATGATCTAATTTGTATTTTCATTCCTTTGCAAGAAATTTAGAACTAAAAGCAGAATTAGACTAAGACATGAGACTATTTCTTACCTCAAGAATGTAGTTCCAACCCTTTTCATTGAAGACATCATCTTGGAAATGTTCTTTATAGACCTCTTTGGCTTCTTGGATTTTCTCTTTGGTTACTACTTTTCCTAAAATGATAAACGTCTCATTTATATTTCTAATGACATTATCTATGGCTAAACTGTAACAAAATGAAGGTCCTCACCTAATCACCCACTCTACAGATTATAGAACTAAGAGGTTGAGTCAATAGCACACGAGAAAATAAATCAGCACTTCTATCTTCCAATAGCTCACTCTAAGCATAAATTGCATTCTTTTTTTAAAAACAGATGTGTACTTTAAAAATTTTCATAATTTAAAAAAATCACTGTAAATTAACTGAATATTATAAGAGATCTTTTCTGCCTATACCTATTCTTCAAAAAAGAGAAACAAAGCATTGCCTTCAAGTTGATTCTGACTTATATCAGCCCTCTAGGGCAGAGTAGAACCACCAAGATTATGATCTTTACAGAAGCAACCTGCTATACTTTTCTCCCAAAGAGTGCCTTTGTGGGTTTGAAGCACTGACCTTATAGTTTTGAAAAGAAGCTTTTAATACAGATAATTCAAAAGCTTGGATTTGTACATTTTTCCAGGTGAACTGTACCCTTTTAGCCATGTAATAATGCTCAAGGCCAAATGAATTAACATCAAGGTTCATGCAACAAACAAAAAAAGCACAAAGGAGTTTGTACCTAGGTTTACATAGAGAATTCTCTTAATACCTCCTCTCTCTAAATGTGAATAAAACATGAATTTCATAGATTTGCTGTGGGAATTAGAAAATACATATAAAACCCTTAGTGTGATAGTCATCATAAGAGAAAAGAGGCCTTACATAAACAGTTCCTCATTTTCTGTACCACTGAAAATATCTGATAATCCATTGACAGATAGCCACTGGAATCAGTCTTATCTCTAAGAAACAAAAGCTCATTAAGCTAAAACAATTCCCATTTTTAACAGGTATTTAGAGAAGCCAAATGGCAATAATGGCTCTTTGAAATACTACAGAAGTATACTGGTAGGGTTAACAGGTGGAAAAAACAGCAAGCCCTTATGGTTAAAATAAAGGGTGTTTTCAGAGCTGGCAAATCAGTAATTTTCAAAATTTATTTATATTTAAACTGAAAACAATAATAGCAACTCCTTAAAGGGCGGCTGTGAGGATTCAATGTCAAAAGAATTATTTACATAATCTTGGTCTATATTAAGCAATCAATACAGTTTTAGCTATAATTAATAAGTAATGCTTTATAAGGTTTTTAAGTTGCAAAAGTAAACTACGGTGTGCCATCATTTTTTGGGTAGCTATCTCTAGATAAGATAAACTAGTCAGTTTATTTGAAGTATCTTGGTTAGTCTTGCTGCATGAATATCAAACTCATGGACATCAAAGAATATCAAACTCATGGACATCAAGTCGATAGTGACCCAAGAGAAAGGGGCGATTATTGCATTTCAAGATTCAATGCCTAAATTCACTGCCAGTGAATCGATTCCAACTCATAGAAACTTTAATCTGTATTAAATTCTGGTATTTTTTTGTATGAAGAGGTTAGAGACAAAATTTTCTAAGATGCATAAAAATGTTGGGGGCTGTTTCTTTCCTTAGAAATACTCTTACAAAACAGACTTTGAAAAACCAAGGAAATGAATTTGGAGATTTTTCTGCTTTAAAGTACATTTGTGACTAACTCCATAGTAATTTGTTATTTTAAGGAATAAGCCTAATGATTAGGTTAAAAACATTTTAATTACAAATGCTATAGCTACCATAATTTAAAATGACTTTATAAGTCAATAACAAGTCCTTTACTTTCAATTAATGAATAATGTCCATCAGTTAACCAGATTAGTTCCAGAAAATCAGTGACTTTTCTAAAATTATTCTAAAGCATACCAATCTCAGAAAATTTCTGACACTAAGACATCAAACACTCTGAAACATATTTAAAGCAATTAAACAGGTTAAAAAATTGTTCCCAATGAATTCTGAAGTAGTTCTGAAAATAAATTACAATTTTATTCATAAAGTATCAAAACCATTCAAAAAGTTATTTCAAAGAAAATGAGAAAAATTATGAAATTACATAAAAGTAGTGTTTTAAAATATACTAGGAAAAATTAATACCTTTTAAGTACTTATTAAGAATGTACTGCAACCCATAAAATACTGTTTCCTCGTATTTCACCTTCCTTACTTTGGAGTTTTCTGTTTTCTTTTCACGGCATTCGAAGTAGGAATAAACTTTGCTTGTATTGGGTGGATATTGTTTATAGTGAGTTACCTAAATGGAGAAAAATACTTTAGTTAGAAAACACAAATGTACAATATAAATCACAACAGAAAACACTTGAAATTATTTCAAAACTGGAGAAACTATACTTTAAAAAAAATCATCCTATTGGGGGCTCATACAACTCGTATCACAATCCATACATCCATCCATTGTGTCAAGCACATTTGTACATTTGTTACCATCATCATTCTCAAAACATTTGCTTTCTACTTGAGTTCTTGTTATATCTGCGCCTCGTTTCTGCCCCTCCCTCCCCGCTCCCCATTCCTCACGAACCCTTGATAATTTATAATTACTTTTTCATGTCTTACACTGTCCAACTTTTCCCTTGACCCACTTTTCTGTTGTCCAACCCCCAGGGTTATATGTAGATCCTTGCAATCAGTTCACCCTTTCCACCCCACCTTCCCGGTATCACCACTCTCACCACCCATCCTAAGGGGTTCATCTGTCCTGGATTTCTTGTGTTTCCAGTTCCTATCTGTACCAGTGTACATCCTCTGGTCTAGCCAGATTTGTAAGGCAGAATTGGAATCATGATAGTGGGGGAAGGAAGCATCAAAGGACTAGAGGAAAGTTGTATGTTTCATTGGTGCAATACTGCACCCTGCCTGGTTTGTCTCCTCCCCGCGACCCTTGTGTAAGGGGATGTCCAGTTGCCTATAGATGGGCTTTGGATCCCCACTCGGCACACCTCCCTCATTCACAATGATTTGATTTTTTGTTCTTTGATGCCTGATACCTGATCCCATCGACACCTCAAGATCACACAGGCTGGTGTGCTTCTTCCATGTGGGCTTTGTTGCTTCTGAGCTAGATGACTGCTTCTTTATTTTCATGCCTTTAAGACCCCAGACACTATATCTTTTGATAGCTGGGCACCATCAGCTTTCTTCACCACATTTGCTTATGCACCCACCTTGTCTTCAGCTATTGTGTCAGGAAGGTGAATATCATGGAATGCCAGTTTAATAGAACAAAGTGTTCTTGCATTGAGGGACCTTAATGCTTAACCTATAAATATATGCACATAGACCTAGCTCATCATCATATAAATATACTTACATATGCACATGCCTGTATTTAGACCTCTATAAATGCCCTTTGCCTCCTAGTTCTTTCCTCTAGTCCCACTATCATGCTCAGCCTTCATTTGGGTTTCAGCAATTCCTCTGTTACATTGCCCTTGATCAAACCCTACCAGGCCTCTTACACCCTCCTCTGATTTTGGATCACTTGTTGTTCCCTTGTCCCTGGGTTTGTTAACATCACTTCCTTTCCCCAACCTTCCCCTCTCCCATGTCTCTCCTACACCCCCCTCCCTCCCCACCCGCTGGAACTGTGATTGTTTATCCCACTTATCTTATCTAGATAGACCTGCAGAGATAATAATATGCACAAAACAAGACAGAGCAAAACAAAGCAATAAAAGAAAACAAAAACAACAAAAACAATGACAAAAGAGGAAAGCCTGTAAATAGTTCAAGGTCTATTTGTTGACATTCAGAAGTGTTTTCCGAAGGATTCTGATGGGGTGCCACACCCAAGAAACTATACTTTTAGATGCTATTGGACAACTTAGATTTCCTGGCCATACAAAATGAAAATAAGTATCTTATTAGAATTATTTAATCGTTAAGAGCCCTGATGACGCAGTCGGTTACATGCTGGCTACCAACTGCAAAGTTAGCAGTTGGAATCACCCCCCTCCCCTCACCCGGCAGTCCCAAGGGGAAAAGATGAGGTTTTTCGCTCCATAAAGATTTACTGCCTCAGAAACTATAAACAGGGTCACTCAGTCAGAATTGACTCGATGGCATGGATTTTGGTTAGTAGCTTAAAAGCAAAGCCATAGGAGAGTATTAAATGGTAGAAACAGAAGTACTGAGTTTAAGGAAGTATAAAGCCTTTAAACTGGACATTTGAAACAAAATAGAAGGAAAGATATCTCATTCAATCTTGGGTAGCAGTCCCATATTCTGGAAAGGAGAAGCCTGGAGCATATGTAACATAAAAGGATGAACTAAAGTCAGCAGGATTTGATCCTGGTCCTGCTTAAATGTGGCATATTCGGTAGGCAGTGGTCGCCGCCGCCTAATGACTGTTTCTTTGTGTGCATGGTGAGGTTGAGGGTGATGCTCTTCACGGTGACACTGAAAACCTAGATGATGAAAGAAACAGCAGTAGGAAAAGAATACATTTTGTAATAATTTCTGTGTGTCCTAATTACCTCCTACTTGGAAAGAAATGATTATAAAATGCCAACTTCAAATCCTTAGGAGTTTGAAACTACAAGGAGGTCGTATCACAAATTTCTCTTTCATACACGAATGGGAGACACCATTGAAAATGGTCAATTTTTGTTTTAAGGGGGAGTAAGGGAGACCTAAAAAGTAAATGCTCACTATAATGTAAATTTTACTTCAATGTTTTAGGTACATTAAAACATTTACCAGTACAAATTAACCAGAGTAATAATGTTTTTCCACAGTTGAAAGAGTATAATGCCTTAATAGTTCAAGACAGAATAAATCAAAACAATAAATTGTTGCAGAACAATTTTGATGAAGAGCCACCACTGTGAATATAATGCATTTTCCTGTTAAGCTCTGACTTCAAGCTTCAGAGAAACAAACTTTCCTTCAATTTGGCTGCTCAGTCTCAGCCCCAGTAAAACATGGTTTTAACTAAAACTCCACTGGCTTGGAGTCAAGCTTCTACAGTGAATACTGTAGATCTATGTCTTCTGTGGCCAAGTACCATTTGATTTCTTCGCCACACTTTGCTATTAATACCCTTTAGCTTCAGTGATCTCTCCATGAGGAGTATTGAGTAGGGTTGTGACATAAGAACTAACTGTTCTTAGTTTAGGGTTATAATTAAATGGGAGCCCCAAGCCCATTCGTATATCTATGGTTTATGTATGTCCTTGTTTTATTTTAGAGACACTATTATCATTTTCTTGGAGAACATTATAAACCATTCTCACAGAACATAATTCTGTTGATAGTGACATTAGGTTAGCCAGTAGAATAGAATTTAAAATCCTGTTGGGAAAAGGAAATTACACTTGTATAGGGCCAACATTTTAGACCACAAGATGCCAATTTTTGTACAGATTAAAACCTTTAAGTGACTGAACACTATTTACACGAACAGTGAGAGTGGGAGCAAGGGCAAACATAACACTCATTCAGAGGCAGAATCAAGCCTGCTAGACTAACATGTCACAAAAGCCAGAGAGAGCACGAAAATAATAAATACAAGATAGTTGGCCATTGCAAAGGGAGAGATCCAAACCCAAGTCTAATGATCACCAGTTCCATATCCTTGGGACAGGGGTCAGATGCTTCTCACCCTAGGGTATTTCAGCCTTACACCCAAGGGAGTATTTGAGTTCCTCAAATCTGCTACAGATTAGTTTAAAGCAGTGTTCTCAACCTTCCTAATGCCATGACCTTTTCATACAGTTCCTCATGTTATGGTGACCCCCCCCCCAACCATAAAATTATTTTCGTTGCTACTTCCTTAACTGTAATTTTGCTACTGCTATGAATCAGGCGACCCCTGTGAAAGGGTCATTTGACACCCCAAAGGAGTCATGACTGCTGAGAACTGCTCAGCAGTGGTTGAGAACTGCTGGTTTAAAGTATAAAGTCCAGTTTGCTTAGTGCGATTTCCAAATGGGATCCTTCTGATGTGGCCTGTGAAGGGTGTTGTGTACCTCAAAAGGAAGAGTCTAAAGTTACAGTTGTCTACAGCACGGTGTCCAGCTATCAGAAGTGTGCCTGGGGTATAATTTTATAAAACAAGATCTAAGTGAGGGGTCAACCAAGTTCACCTGGAAGTACACCAGCCTGTGTGATCCAAGGATTATAAATAATAAAATCCAAATATGGAGGAGGCAATGGTACCAGAACTTAAATTCTGAACACACAATTTGCAGAAGACTATGGATGACAGTGGAAGCCTAAAATCCACTTGCAGGGTCTCACATGGATTAAGCCTCCAGTGAATTCCCTGACTACAATCTAGGTATATGAGTAGTCGTGCTATCAGATAGAGAGCACTGGAAAGTCGGTTACAGCAGATACAGTTAGGTTAAAATATAACACCTTATCATTTGATCTCCCTTTTAACCCATTTCAAATATTCCAGCCTTCAATATAACATTTTCTGGTTTCTTCTCAATTGAGGCTTTTCTCATTTATTTTATCATTGCTGTTGTTTGTTTTGGATTTGTTGATTTTTTTATGTTTTTCCATCTATGAAATCCAGGATTTAGATAGACAGTATAAAGTATGAAGGCAGTATAAGCTCTATAAAGACAGTAACTGGATTTACAATTGCCTAGGGACACGGCAGGGAAGTTGGAGGGGTGGGGAGGAGGGAACTAACAGCAATTACAAGAAAGAAGAAAATGTCCAAAGTGGACTGTGGTGATGATTACACAACTCTTCCTTCTTAATATTGATTAAACTATAAAATTTTGTGATGTGAATTATATGCCAATTAAAGAATATGTTTTCTATAAAGGAGCCTGAACAGCAAGGTCCGCGATTCATAACCACCTGCTACTGAGAGAGAGAAAGCTGAGGCTGTCTGCTCCCGTCAGAGAGCTAACAGACTGAAACCCTATATAGGGTCACTATGAACTGGAAGTGACTCAAAGGCACAGGGTTGCGTTGGGTATAAATGGAGGAAAATAAACCACACATTTAAAATGTATATTCTCATTTATTCTTCTAATGGAAGCGTATCTTCAACTCTATAGAAATAATAATTCTATGCTACTTAAATGTAGCCTTGGACATGAATCTATAACTTAACACGTGATCAGATAACTTAATCAGGAAAGAGTTAAAATCTTTAGGCTTTGCTTAGGTATACCAAATGTCTAGATACTAACCTAAAAGTACAGAGAAGCCTCATCAAATCTAAAAGTACCATGTGCTAATGAAAATAAAATATTACACACTTTAAACTCA